CATTTTTTTCCCCAAGCAGTGCAAACTTCAAGACTTCAAGCTCGTCTGACGAGTGTTTGAGGAGCTATTAGCTTTCTGAAGAGTTTCATGCACACAATCACATCATCAATACACTCATTCTGCTCCCTTCATCTCTCTAATCACAGGATATTTAATACGCCGTCGATCTTTGAGACGGACACAATCAGAGCAGTGTTTAGGCTGGTAACAGGAGACCGTAAAAATGCACCGCAGAACAAACTCTCTCACACACACATGCAGCTCATGTTTTAAACAAAAGTTCAAGCTAGGCAAAGCTTTGCTGTGTATCTTCTTAAAACCTGCTTGCACAGACAGCTCCTGTTCGCTGGTGACGTTCTGGGAGAGAGTGCAAACTGCATGTTTTACCTTAGTGCATATTCAACCATTTGGAGAGCCTAACCCTAACACTAACCCACTCTGAAAGCAATTTTGAAATTTCCCTCACCAAAGACTTGCCCACTTTTGGCACGGTGGACCAGAAGAATCCACGCCAGTCGGGATCCTCGAAGATATAGGGCAGAATCCGAGTCAACAGACGAACGCAGCTCAGCACGGCCTGTCTCTCTCTCTCACACACACAGCCTGAGTCGGCGTTCAACACGAGCCTTTCCACTGCCTGCAAAAAAACCACACAAACACTTTAAACATGTCCAATGTTTTAAAACTTAATAAATGACTAGTACTTTAGACAAATCAATTGATTTAGTTACATTCCTTTGAACATATTACTCAATACTACTCAAAAATAGTCAAATATTGGGGATTTTTTTAAAGATAACATCAAAACAACAAATATTACTCTGGAATATTTGCAAACAAAATACATTTATTTTATGTGCATAAACTTTCACTTTTAGATGAAAACGATTTTTCATGCTGCAGTGGTTGCTGCATCAATATTCATGCATATTCATGTTTAGCAACTAAATTCAGTCCCAAAAGTATGTGTGAGATATGGGAAAGAGCCTGCATATATTTTACAAATGTATTTGAAATGAATCTAACACACAGATAAAAAACAAAACAAAAAGCAAAACATGAGAATGTTATTCTAACAATATGCATTTTTCAGACACTTTTATGCATCTCGGCTGTGTCAAAATAGGCCTAAATGCATACATGTTCATATTAGAGTCATATTATTGGTCTACAAAACATTTTAATTTATATATCAGTGGTCCCCTCTCATTGTGGCCACCATGTTGAGATCACGATCACTTTTTACTCATTATTGATTATGGGACACAGACTGCACCTTGTAACAGAGGGTTGCCAGATTGGACGGAGACTCCTCTCTCACAGCACGGATCTCAGCAGCAGGAACCAAAGCAAAAATATCCTGCGCCGTCAAGTTGATGTCAGTCCAGAACTGGTCCCAGAACACATCCTCAGAGGCCTCGACGGGCTGCAAAATCACACAAGGGTCCATTATTCAAAATTAAAAAAGCATAACCTTTCAGAATAAATGCACTGAGATGACATCTTCGGTCCATGGACATCTTCCCCTGTATCTTCTTTTCATTACATTAAGTGCATCTTGTCACTTAATTCACACAATTTGTAAAACATGTTAATGGCCCTAAATGCCTAATTTTCTAATAAAATACAACATAAAATATTTT